AATATTACTAGTTTTGAGATCACGATGAATGATTCGATGTCGAGAATCTTCATGAAGATAAAGAAGTCCCTTAGCAATGCCTCCTATGATTTTGTAGTGCATATCTCAATCTAAATGTGCCCGTTTAATTGGATCTACAACTCCAACCAAGCACACAAATTAGGCAGAGATTGTTTAAATATTAGCAAAACAAATTTGAGATAAGGATATCAAATTGTTACTGATTTCTTAATTTTTTTCCCTATTTGTCATTTTAACTATGTAAGGAGATTTGAATTATAGATTAAGTTAATGAAAATAAGAACTTTAGAGAAGGTAGATTGTCAGAGGCTACATACCAAATATGAAACGATCAAGACTTCCACTTGGCAAAAACTCATATAAGAGGAGTCTTTCTGTTCTTTCTAGACAGAAACCTAGGAGCCTAACCAAATTCCTGTGTTGCAGCTTTACCAACAATGACACTTCATTCTTAAACTCATGTTCACCTTGTCCGAAATCCTTAAACAACCTCTTCACTGCTATTTTTTTTCCCATTTTTAAGCATACCCTATAAATATATCAAAATCAATATTAAATAAATTCACACTCTTAAGAAATGATATTTTTTTATTTGATGCAACTAGATAAATTTTCAAAAGGGGAAGTATTGTATTACCTTGTAAACAGCTCCAAATCCACCTTGTCCAAGCTTGTTACTGTTAGTAAAGTTCTTTGTAGCTATCTTTATTGTACCAAAGTCGTACTTCAAGATTTCTATGCTGGTGATTTCATCCTCGTCTTCAAATTTGGAAACGAATATTGTGCTAAACCAAATCAGAGTAGTATATGGCAATAGCTATGCCTTACAATATTAGCAGACATAGATCATATATTCCACTAGTGTTACTATTTTTTTTTAATCCTTGATGGTAGATATATGAACTTCTGAACCTATTCCTCTCTTAAATTTTCATGCATTAACTACTAGTTCATTGTAGATATTTCAAGTGACATTATCTTTTAGTATACCAATGATTTTGACATGTATAAACTAGAGCATGTTGATTAGTATACCAATGATACTATTGGGATCTCATTTGTTGATGTAATCCATCACAACCATTGAATTGGTATCGGACTCAACGAATATTGAAACCCACCATCAATCTAATAGTTGTGAACAAATTAAGTCAACGAATTAAGTCTTAATATACATGGTTGACAATATTTTTGAACCAGGAGCAATGTTACGCGAACTTAAAAACTTACTTGATCAATCATTGTAGTTGATTTAACTATGGGTTATATTATTTTATTAAGATTTACTACTTATTCAATTGTTGTTATCATCAAATCAACAAATCAAATCTATTTTTTTAAGTTCAAGTAGCATTTTCCTTGAAACTGTTGTATCTCCCGTATATTCTAGGTGATGAGCATTTATGCTACAATAATTGGACCCTAACTTTTAAATAAACTATGAAAAATCAGTTTCAGTACTCTCATTGATCAGGAAAAAAAAAACTTACTGTCAAATTTCTATTCTGGCTTCCTATGCTTCCGTTGTCTCCTCTTTCTTAGAAAGATACAAATGAAAATGGCAAGGATCAAAGATTGAGAGTTGGACCAACAATAGTATAGATAATTCGAGTTTTGCTACTGTCTTTGCCTGTGAAATTACATAAATGTGCTTTCATTATGTTGATGATAGTCTTGGGATGTTGAATTCGTTGTGACCAACACTACATCTCCGCAAGGAGAATATATGTTTTTGGCAACTTTAAATATGCGCTTTATGTTTGCTTGATCCCTAATTTTTTAATTGTCAATGTGATCTCTAAAAATTTCGACTTAGGCATCATTGGTCTAATAAAAACCAAGCGTTAAAATCTCTAACAAAGTTAGTCGCGTGCATAACAAAATTAGAAATTATGTAAACCATCCTAAAAATTTTAGAATGACACAGCGTGTACTTGAGGAACCAAAATTACATTTTACCCCTGATGAAATAAAAGTTACAAAACGAACATGATATGGTGAAAAGAAAAAAAACTCGAGTTACAAAAGTAGGCAAGTTTTGTTAGGCTCTGGAGCTTACCTTCACTTCTAGCAGTTGGAGTTGGAGGTGGAGGGGGAGTCACAGGTGGAGTTGGAGTTGGAGTTGCAAGTGGAGGTGGAGGTGGAGGGGGAGGGGGAGTCGTAGGTGGAGTTGAAGTTGGAGTTGCAAGTGGAGGTGGAGGTGGAGGGGGAGTTGAAGTTGCAGTTACATTCATGGTTTTGTTTGCGTTGGCGGTGACGTAGGTGGCGGCTCCTGTTCCGGGTGGGGCGGCGGGTGAGGTCATATATACGGTTGGGGTTGCAGTTGTAAGTTTGGGGATGAGGCTAAGAAAGCCAAAAATGCAAAGTAAAGATCGAAATGTAGATCCAGAGACACTGAAAGAAGGCACTATGTTGATAAAATTCTTCCACCCAGTGTTTGCTTTTTTTTTTTCTTTGTTTGAAATTAGATTCACCTATATATGATAGAGAGGACCCCAGAAAAGGGTCTGAGGACTTTTTGACGCTGGACAGCGAGTGAGTGATACTTTGAAACTTGGCCATTGTTGAAAAGCTTGATCTACGACTGTGGTTATGTGGAAATCAAAAGCATTCAACTGTATCATTAGGCTATAATTGTTAGGAGTTATTAGTTCTGGCCGGTATTTTGAGCGGTAAAACGGACGAATTATAAACTTAGACATTTTGAGTTCTAATCTTGACCTCCTCTTAAGACTAAGCCACTTGAAATTTATCCTTTTTGAATATCTTAGTTCACATGTGATTTGTGTCTTTAACTGAATGGGAAATAAATTAGTCAAGGTGGGCGTAAGTTAATCTGGACACCCATTACCGTTGAACTAAAAAAAATTAAAAAAATATATAATTATTAGGAGTTACCCAGTTTTTTACCAACCCCAACCAATTTGGGAAAATAATTCTCAAAAATAGGCAGTTTCTAACTTATTTTGCAAACTGGGTATTTTTTTTTATTTGAAAAAACGTGATGTTTGTATGCTAAAAACATAATTTCATCTAATGATTTCAAATTCAATCAACCCATATGTTCAAATCCAATCCAATCCAATCACACAAACCCAAGGATTGCAGCAAAGAAGACATTAGTTCAATTGAGATCTTCAATGCTGACCTAATTTCTTATCTACTCTTTTAAAATATCAAATAAACATAAGTCCAGTTTGGTTTGCATATCAGAAACTGTTTTTCTGTTTTTACAAACAGTTTCTTGGACAAAAACTGTTTTATAAATAAGAGGATATACCCTCAAGGATGATAGCTAAAAATTTCATTGTAATAACCTTCTTCTACAAACAACAGAAACCAGATAGTAAAATTTTCTATTGTAGTGGACTAATTAACCTCTTTAGCCTGGTGAACCACCGAATAGTTTCTGTCATCGTATTTCTTTAACTCTTTATATTGCTACAGTGTTAAAGAGCTCATTAGATCTATACTCAGAATCAATCACTCATGCCCAACCTCATATCCTTTAACTGACTTTGAATCTCTTTGTGGTTGTCTCGCACTCATGGCATAAATTTTTTGTGGAACATTTGATTGTGATAATAATTTCATCTTTCTTTTTCAAAAAAAAAAAAATGTTGGTGGTTTATTGGTACGAATTAGTGGTTTAGTGGTAAGAATTTATGCTGTGGATACTTGGACTTACATGTCACCGGCCCACTATCATACATCCAATTGGCCTTTTGATTATGGGCCTTATAAAATTTTCCACCTAGTAACAAGAAACAGAAAATTTTGAGCAGGTACCTTTTAAATTATTTATTTGTGAGAAAATACGTTGACTAAAATTTTTTGTAGATAAGTACATTTGACTTGAAATATATTGTAATTAGGTACTTATTGACATATTTTTAAATATTTTCTTCACTAAAATACCATTTTTCTTATTTGAAGGTATGTTAGTTTGATAGTCCAATTTTTTTTATGGGATTTGATTTATTATATTAATAGTTTTATGTTTTAAGGGATATACCACATGAAATATACCTTAACAGCTTGACCTAGATTTTGAAATTCATTTTTTGTATTATTTTTTAATATTAAATGACTCTGCTTGTTCTCAAATTTAACAACAGTGTTACCTTGTATTAGAGACCTAGTCAAATCCACCACCACAACGGTTAAACTCAGCTTATCTACTGAAGGAAATAAGGATCAAGTTAAGACTAATTCAAGTGTGTCTCAACCTCCCTAGTTTATCGCTTATTCTAATGTATAACCTCCCTAGACTATCTCCTACTCTTGTGTGTACGGTTATCTTCATATTATAAATACAAGACCTTAACCTGTATTATGGTAAGGCAGCCAATAGATTTATATTTTCTTATATGGTATCAGAGCAACCTGACTTACGTCAAATTCCTTTTCTCTCCCTCACCATGTCTATTGTAACAACCTTCTCCTCCACTCAAACATTACTTTTGGTCACCTTCACCAACTTCAACCGTTAAACTCACTCGGGACAACTATCCTCTATGGCTCTCTCAAATTGTTCCTCATCTCAGAGGCAGAAACCTCTTCAGGTACGTCGATGGCACTACCATCCCCCCACCGTCTACTATCTCTTCCACCATTGATGGTGTTACCATTACTTCTCCAAATCCTGCCTTCTTACATTGGACTATGCAAGATCAAATCATTCTTGATGCAATCAATTCGACTCTCACTTAGAAGATGCTTACCCATGTTAGAGGGTGCACTACCTCCAGATCTGCCTGCACAACATTGGAGACACTATTCACGTCCTAATCCCGGGCACGCACCATGCAAGTCCACTATCAATTGGCCACCTTAAAAAAAGGAAACTCCTCCATCGCCAACTACTTTCAACAGTTTCAATCTCTCACTGACTTCTTGGCTGCCGTGGGACAGCCCCTCAATGATTTTGAAATGGTGTCTTTCCTACTTGCTAGACTATGATCTTTTTGTGATGTCAGTCACAACTCGGGTTGAACCCCTCTCCGTGGAAGAGATCTACGACCATTTCTTCTCCCATGAACTCAGACTTGAGCACCATCAGTCCGCCATTGACCTCACTGTTATTGGGGCTCACTATGCAGCCCGTGGAGGAAATTCTTCATGTGGCTCTCATAGTAGCCACAATTCTATCCTCAGAGCCCCACCTCCTGGATAAGGGCCTTCACGTGGTAATTCCAACAGGTAATCATGTGGTAGGGGCGCAACATTCATTCCTTTCCTAGTCGCGGCTCTTCATCTCGCCCTGTTTGCCAAGTTTGCAACTGTGTGGGCCACATCGCACTTGATTGCTTCAATCGCTATAACGAGTCTTTCTCTAGAGACTCCACTCAGCAACCGCAGGCCTATCTCTCGGCCCCTTCCAATGGTCATGACCATAATTGGTATCCAGATTCCGGTGCGACTCATCACATCACCTCCAACATCACCAACCTCAACCTCAAAGCAGAGGAATTCCATGGCTTCGATCAGATACAAATCGACAACGGTAAAGGGTTATCCATCCATCATATTGGTCACACCCGTCTCTTTTCTCCGACTCTTCAATTTGACCTTTTTAACGTTCTCCATGACCAAAAAATTTTCAAAAATTTATTATTTGTTCATAAATTCACGACTGATACTAACACTTTCTTTGAATTTCATGCCGATTATTTTCTATTGAAGGATCAACATTCGAAGAAGTTGCTACTCCACGGCCCGAATAGTCATGGTCTATATCAATTTCCATTCAGCAATAATAAGACATCCCCTTCCGCTTTAGTTGGTGAACATGTCTCTCTTCCTTAGTGGCACTCACGGCTTGGCCATCCTTCCTTCAAGCTGGTCCAACAAGTTCTTTCCTCCTTCAAGCTTCCGGTAACCACTTCTAAAGTCACTGATTCACGTTTCGCGTGCCTCAGCTCCAAATCCAAACAATTACCATTCTCCACGTCTCTCTCCCACTCCACTTCTCTTTTAGAGCTCATTTATACGGATGTTTGGGGTCCTGCTCCCATTTGCTCAAATTCTGGCTTAAAATAATATGTTTCCTTTTTTGATGATTTTAGTCCATACACTTGGTTGTATCCTATTTCTTGTAAGGGTGATGTCACTAGCCCTTTTAATAAATTTAAAATTTATGTTGAATACTTCTTCAAAGAAAAAATTCGTGCTGCCTAATCTGATTGGGGTGGTGAATACCGTCCCTTTCACACACTTCTTCAATCTTTTGACATCTCTCATCGTGTCTCTTGCCCGCACACACATCAACAGAACGACAAAATTGAGCACAAACATCAACACATTATCGAAACTGGACTAGCCTTACTCTCTTAAGCTCAAGTCCCTCTCCAATTTTGAGACGACGCATTCTCTATGGCATGCTACCTAATTAATCGCCTGCCTACCTCTGTGCTAAAAAAACAACTCACCCTTTCAAACTCTTTTTCGTTGTGAACACGATTATTTTTTTTTACACACTTTTGGCTGCGCATGTTGGCCAAACTTATGTCCATACAATAAAAATAAACTCCAGCAAGTATGCCTCTCCTCCATCCTCTTTACCCACTAACATATCTCTACAGGTGTTCAACAATCCAAGTCCACTACTAATTCCCCTTAACTATGGACCCACGACAACATCTTCTTTGGACACTCCATCATCACCAGAAAATACCATCAGACCATCTCTTGACACAGCACCATCCCCCAGTCCATCATTATCTATGTTAGATCTCATATCTCCCACTCTCTTATCTACTCCTTCTCGTCTAACCCTCCCTGTCAGCAATACACCAACGCCCAACCCCTCATCAATTCACCCCATGACCACACGTGCCAAGAATCGGGCTGAAGTGTTTTGCCAATAATTTAGACATTTAAGAAATTTCAGCTCTACGTGATAATCTGTTTTTGATAAATTTGTGTGAAAAATTGAAAGAAACATATTATATCATTGTTCCATCGTCATTGCCAAGATTACCTCCAATTACCCCTCCAACAGGAGAATGAAAGATGGATATGATGAGTTCATTAGTTGGACAGAGAATCAATGTAATTACATCTTATATGTGCGGGCTCGATCCTGCACGATATATAAAATATTGGGAACAGATCTCTCCCCTGGTGAATTCTGAGTGAGCCGGTTGAGTGGCCAAACACGCTGCTCGAAACAACCTTCGAGGTACGGTGGCAACCTGGAACGGCAAAGGAAGGCCTTGGGAAAGGAAGAACGATCATGTACGTGTGGAAGGTATTTCCTGGAACAAAGGAGAACAAGTTAGAAGGGCGTCGGAGTGTTTTCCGGCGTATCCCCTCCGACGGTCTAGTCAGTCTTTGAATGAGAGAGAGGAAGGAGAAAACACTGAGAAGGATATTTCGTAGTAGAGAGTTTGTGATTGCATACCCGCTTTGTCTTTTGGGTGGGGTATTTATACCTTAGAAGCTCATGATGGCTGTCAGTGTGGTCAGTAGGTGATTATCAGGCACAGGTAGCGTGTGTAATCATTTGATGAGGAATGTCTTCTCTAATTGACTGCTCGGGGTCCCGAGCAATCAATGCTGAGTTGTCGGGACGCCGACGGTACAATATGCTCCTTTCGGGAAGGATGCAATAAATGCTCTGTAATAGGAGCATTTATTACCTTTCATATCCGAACCTTACCGCATTGAATGCGGTCTCATCAACAGAAGGGCGCAATTAATTGTTTGTTTTCCCAAGTCGCGTGCCAGCAGCGGCATGCGGTTTGTCTGCTTCGGATGTGACATTATTTGCCACGCGTCCATCCCTTATTGGCTGTTACGTCGGTATTCCAGAACGTTCTGACATTACTTGTGTAAGAAGAGGTCATGATGAATAGTCTAGACTGGCATAGGCTGATGTCCCGTACGTCAGTAGCTTTATCCGGGAGTAGAGAAAGCGTCCAGGATGGAGTGACCCTCGGCACCGAGGGTGGTATGTTTCGAGATACACAGTGACCGACGACACGTGTCGTTGTGTAATGCACCGAATATGTGATCCTATATGAGAGGTACCTCGGGGGAGAGGACGTCTTTGCCGATGGTGCTTGAACCCGAGCAACATTGTTCTAGAAACCCCGAGGACACGTGTCTTCATCATAGGCTTTTCAGAAGAGTCCCATCAACTGCCCCCCAGCCTTCGATCTTCTGACACCGAGGACACGCGTTGTCAGGAGACGAAGGGTTTTTCCAACTGCCATCCGTCCTTCATTATGGCCTCGAGCAGCTTTCCCCGTCTTGGGATGTCGTGCGCATTAAATGCGCTGTTTTTGGTTCTCCCGCCCAATGATGACAGTTTCCCCCCTATATAAAGGGGGTTCTTCTCCGGTTTCTATCGTTTTGCCATTCCGATCTCTGACCCAGAATACGCCTTTTCTGATCTGCTCGCCGGAGTTTTTTGTTTCCTCAGCCATCGTCGACAGCATCTTCTCTTAAAACCTCAGTCAGTAAAACCCATTGTTGACTCCTGATCCTTCCGGTGCGAGTTATTTTCAAAGTTTTTCCTGAAAAACTCCGTTTTCGACGTCTTCTGGTGAGTTTCACAACCTTCTTCTTTATCGTCCCCCTAGCCTTCTTGCTTTCCGATTGAACAGTGGTGTCATCCGGTCGGTTCGTCTTGATTTAAACCCTCGGGGAACTTCCTCAGGTTTTCAAGAGAGAACACCTTTTTCCTTCCCTTTCTTTTAGAGATGCCTCGTCGTCGCCCTGTTCCCGAGAATCCATCGGCTGGTCCCTCGGGGTCAGGGAAATACAAGGTGACAGGCGAGGCGCAGATCGATAGGTTCAGGGCGAAGTATGGCATCCCCCCGAGCGTGGACGTAGTGGGCTTTAACCCTTTGTGGAACTCTCCTACCTTCGGGGCCGCGGATGCCATGCCTTTTTATACCAAGGCCATCATAGAGGGTGGCATTAGGTTTCCTTTACCCCCCTGCTTCTTCAGTTCCTGTCTCGCTTCCGTCTCTTCCCCGGGCAATGCTGCCTCAACGTCTTTCGGATAATTATGGGGGTCCTAGAGCTCAATAGGCGCCTCGGGGTGAATATTGGGCTCAATGATCTCCTTTTCTGTTACTCCCTCCTAAGAGTCATGCCCCACCAACATTTCTACCTCAAAGCCAGGGACCCCTCCATGTACCTTGTAACCCATCTTCCTGACTCGGACAAGGGGTACAAGGACGACATCTTGATCTTCAAGGGATGTTGGGAGAGGGGTGTTGGTCCCGAGTACAATGACTTATTTTGCCCTCGGGAATGGAGAACGACAAGTACGTCGGTTCCTTTGGGTTTTTTATTTGTTTCTTGGGACTTCTCATGCTTATGACAATCTTTTTCGTTGTGCAGATATTCCTTCTCGGGAAACAGCTCCACCCCCTCGGTCGCTGGTCAATTTTGCCGACCTAATAACGGTTTGGAGTTTCACGGGCGCCGACGGATTTGGCCGAGCTGCCCATAATCTGCTGCACTATACCCCCGGGTATAAGAAGTTCTCACAGCTCCCTCAACCTTTCGAGCCTTCGCAGTGGTCAGAGCTCTTTGATCAGGCGGCGAGGCTAGAGGTCGAGCAGAACTTGGAGGAAGACCCGGATCGGGCTTCAGAGGGAGAGGTAGAGGAGTTGCTGAGGAGGTCGGGGTCAGAGAGGACGTTGCTCCTTCGGACGCCGAGGTGGGGACTTCGGGAGGCGACTTGTGGCCCGATTTTCAAATTCTCCAATCTTTGGACGCCGAAGACGCTCTCGAGGAAGCGATGTCCAACGCCCCTCGCATTAATTTGGGGTTTCTTAGGCAGAGGCAATCCCTCGCAGCCGGGAGAGGTCGAGGGACGGCCGGCGGTACTCCGGCAGGAACCAGCTCTCCCCCATCATCAAGGGTTCCTGATCGGGGTCAGGTGCGAGATCGGGACCCTCAGGTGGAGGAGGAGAGGAGGGTGAAGCATCGGCACGATGGCCTCAGCCGAGGACCCAGGGTGCCTCCCGCTCAGCAGCAAAGCGGGAGGGATCGTGGATTACCCTCTGCTCCCTCACAACAGCAGCAACAGCAGCAGCAAACTCGACAACAGCAGCAACTACAGCAGCCCCGACAACAGCAACAGGCTACTCCTTCCCTCCCATCCACAGTGGAGGCCGCGGTGTGGAATCCTCGGGCCACTGATCACATGAACCGAGTGATCAGGGTCGACGATTCCATTCTGCAGGATCCCCATGTCGCCTATGCAGTGAGTGAGACATTG